ATTTCGATTTTTAAAAGTAGGAAAATTCTCATTTAATGATCCAACTTGAGACCTCCTGTGGGAATCTCATTGGGGATTGACATATGTAATATCAAGATGATTCATATGATCTTTTTCTTTAAAAAAAAATTACAGCAAATAAAGTATTTTGTTTCAAAAATAATAAATTTTAAAAATAAACATTAGAGACTTTGTTGTTTAAATAAATGAGAATGTTTGATACTATCAACAAAAATAATTCTAACTTTTAAAAAGATCATAAATTCAATCAATCAAAAAACACATAAAGTTGATTTAGCTTTGAAAAGTTCTATTCGTTCTAGAAAAAAATCATAATAATATATTAAAATTATTTCCAATTGAATAATTTTATTGTATTGAGTTCTTTGTGCACTTACTACTCCATATATTAGTGAAAATTTTAAATTTATCACTAAATTCATCTATTCATCATTTGTGAAGTACATTAAATATATTATCGTTATTATATTTTATCCTATTATTATGTTATTAAAAAGGAATGTAAATTGCTATAGTCAATGACAATAATCAAGTCTCCATAGAAGATTAAGTCTAATTTTTATTCTTTAAGTCTTACGTATGTATATTCCACTTCTAGAAGACATGAACCAATAATAATCCGTAAATTGAAAATATTCAATATATTTTGTCTTTTTTCCCTTTAAAATTTTGCTCAAAATCTAGGAATATCCCTTGTGTTTGTTTTAGGATTACAACATCACTCAATTTTGTCTATTTTTTTCAAAATATACTTACATAAAAAAATATATTATTTCTCTCCTACTAGAATGTCATGTCACATTTTTATACTTATTATTAATATTTTTCTAATTCTTTTAAAGAATAGGAGGAACTCACGTATTTTCTTGAAGAACGAGAAGCTCATATTACAATTCTTAATGTAATTTTTTACTGGGTATAATATGTGGGTTTGTCTATTTTTTTTAAAAAATCTATTTATATATAATAGGAAAAGTAAAAAGTGTCACATGTCAGCACCACAAATATTTAAGAATTTTAATTTTTTCAAAAAGAATTTTAAATATGCTCTAAAAATGCAATTAAAAAATAGAAATTGTAATATAACTATTTTAAATAGAAAATAAAAGTTCTTTTGTTAAAAAAAAATTGTAACTGGCAAAAAAATAAATAATTTTTAAATGCCTCTAATTTAAATTTTGAAAGAAAAAAAATAAAATTGAACTATTCTTTTTTTATAAAAACAATAATGGCTATTACACGATATTTTTTTACAAAAATAGAATCTAGCAGCTGGCTATATGTTTTGATTTATTCCTATACTAGTGAATTTGACCGCGCTACACGCGGGTTTAATATTTATGGTAAAATTTTACTTTATTTAGCAAAAATTATCATTACAATTGTATTTTTATCTCTAAAATTTACAAACCATTATTTCCTTTAATTTCCACCTTTACATAAACTTGGTAACTTTTGTTTTATCTTTTAAATATTTGACGATATTGTTATCTCTCATGCACTTGTTATTTGAATTATAACTATAAAAATTTCCGAGTATATACATATTCACATACATAACTTTTCTTATTTTTATTTTTTGTAATTTTTTCTATTTTAGAAGGTCGTGAATATTTCATCCCGCAAAAATAGAAAAGGTGAATGTCAAATATTAAAAAAAATATAATTTTTGTAAGTTTTTGTGATATAAACAAAAAGAATAAAATGGACATTTTATTTTTAGTTGTATCAAATTTAAATTTATTTAATTTTATATAGTTGCTTGTTTAATTATTATTTTTCTCTATAATTATAACAACCTCGTATCCATTTATTGCTTCAATGCACAAATAATTACATGTAAATAAGAAACTTTTACAAATATTTTGGTAAGCAATTTCAAAATAGAATTCTTAGTCGTCCACCACGATATTGCTCCATTTCTCATATTATTTTTTCAGTATTGTGTTTTATAAAAAATAAAATACAAAAAGAGATGAGCATGAGTGTATTTACTGATTTGCAAAAAGAAAATCACACTTGAATGAAGCTTATCGTGCTTAGGTGATAAATCTTCTCTTTCTAAATATGTTGTCGTCGATAATATTACATTTTCATATAATTTGTAGTGAAAAGAGTAAATTGACCATTGGAAGAAAATTTTAATTTACAATGAACCCAATAGATGAGTAATAATTCTAATCAATAACGAAAAGTCAGTAACTTCGTATTCTTAGTAACATCATATATCTATGTGATCTACAATAAGAAATTTAAACGACAATCATATTTTCTTTATTCACGGAAAACTAATTATTACGTAATTACAATTTATAAACCTTATATACAATTAATAATGATAAGTCACTATATAACTTTTAGAAATATTTGTGTTGAAAAGTTAAAGTATTAATTTTTTTGGTAAAATTTGGACACCAACCAAAAGAATGGTAAAACAACTGCTTACACTTCATATTTCAACTCCTCTCGTAAATCAATAAAGAGATAATATCTATATAACTTGCAAACAATTAACGTCTAATTAGAGTATTATCTTCATAAGATATATAAATTAAAATTTATTGAGGTAAATAAAAATAATGACAAAAATTAAGATATCGTAATACTAAATTGAGAGAGAATAAAGGAAGAGATATAAAATGAACAAATAGAGGTAAAAATAAAATAGCGCAAAAAGAAAAATAGAGAAATTGTGTTAGGATTTTGAAGTAGTTCATTTGATAGTAAAATTCTGAAACGTTGCATTATCTTTTTCATCAAAGAGTTGTAATTAAGTGGATGCATTTCTTTTTTTATTATTATTGAAATTCTGTATCCATAACTATTTTTTCCATAATTAAGCACACTAATTATGGGAAAGTAAATATTGATTACGAGGAATGAAATGAATATAATTTTAATGCCAAAATGATAGCCTTTGAAAATTTTTATTTATAGCAAGGTATAATTGATCATTAATTAATAATTATTAATAATACAATTGCGTAAACATAGAGAAAAATGCATAGATCTTAAGTAAATAGACAAATACCTTTTGTGATCATGAGGCATGCCGTACATTAACATAATGAAGAACCTCCTTTACAATACGTGGGTTATATATATATATATATATATATATATATATATATATATATATATATATATATATATATATATATATATAAAACCCACCTTAATATTATACCATACAGATTTAGATTTAGGGAGAGACATATTGAATAGAATTAGAACTTAACTTCCTAAAACAAAAATAAAATCTTTTAAAAAATTAAATAACATTGATAATAATAAAATAATAATAATTATTATTATTATAATAAAAAAACTATTGGCTTATATCAAAAAGCTTCATGGTAATATCCTTAACATATATATACACATTAAAAATTAATCAAGAATAGATAAAATAAACTCTTAGCTTACCTCTTTTGCTCTTCATATAAAAAGCTTCATAATAATTATCCTGTTTAAAAAGATGCTAACATATATACATCAAAAATAAAGATCATGGATGGATAAAATAATAGGAAGAAGATGAAAGAGAGATAGAAAAAAGCTACATGAAACCCTCCAAAAAGGTATAAGAAGATATGAAAAAAATACTTACATGAAACTCCAAGAAAAATGTCTAAGAAGATATGAATAAATAGGGAAATGAATTGTCTAATTGATTACATGTGATTAAGAATTAAAAAAAAAAAAAAAACTGACAATACGTGGGTTGCTGGAAAAAATGTGTGATCATGCACATCAATTACACTATTATATATTTAGATGTTACATATTTCCTTTTGAAAGGAAGAGTTCAATGTACTAAAGGCTAATAATAAGGAAAGTGGATAATTGTTTTTAAAGGTTATTGAACAGAAAATGAGAGAAAAAAAATTAAAATTCTAAAAATTAAAATAAAATAGTATACTGATCAATGAAGCATGCAACATCAACGTGATTTTATTCAGCTTTATATTATATATAGATTATTATACAAAAGCCCACTGGTGAAACTGAGATGTTGAAATTTGAAAATCGAGAATTTATTTCGAGTGTTTAAAATCCTATCTAATTTTACAGTTTATAAATATTTGATTATAATTTTTGGAAATGTACTTTCACAAAATCTAGCTTCGTATTTGCAAGGCTATAATCTCATCCTTGTGTTGTTCACTGGTAGTAATATTTGTTTAGTTTCAACTGATGTTAAGTAAGATTTTAATTATTTTTTTTTGAAGTTAATTTTTTCACTTGCCCAGTTACCTTAGATTTTTGACTTTATCTCTCTCTTGTTTTTCCAAAACATGATAGTATGTTCATTTTACCAGAAGTATGATTATTTTCTTTTTTTTAATTATTATTGAAAGGAAATGTCTTGTATAAACAAGTAAACAAACTTATCAACGGCTGCATAGTTGTGATTTGTGATTGTAACCCAACATCATTATACGTTGATAATTTCATCAGAACTTGGATGTGTTTCTTTGCCTTATTTCTAATTTTTATGTTTTAAAAGGGGTTAATAATTTATGTTGGTGGAGATGGTATTTATGGGCAAGTTTTGATGGTGGTAAAACAAGTTATAACTGGCAAATAGATGAGTAAATCATATCATGAATGGATTGACAGAGGAAGGGCGGAAAATTGACATACATTATATAAATACATCAATTAATTGTAAAGTATTGAGACTTTTGAGTATTACTTGGATCGAGCTAGGTTACCTAGTGATTAACAAGCATCCTCCTGTCGTGGTAGCCCAGCGCCAAGGAGCATACCATTGTAAGGAAAGAGAACCCAAATAGCGGTGGAATGAGCTACGGTAGGACCGGTAAGTTGACAGAAATACAAGGTTTTTTCTTATTAATGAAGGCCATGGAGTAAAGGGAAGTGGATAGATTTTTCGAAGATGGATTGAACAAACCACAAAATAATCTTACCTCTGGTAATATCAAACATGCTATCATGTCAGCTGATAAGAAAACTAATCAAGCAAAAACATGAGATCAAATTCATATGTATTGTTGAAAACAAACCAAAACAAGGAACATTATGTTTTGCAAGTCTGCGGAAAATATCCCTCAGAAACAGAACAAAATTTAGAATACTAACGTATCAGAGAAGAGAACTACTAGAACAAAACGACAGAAGGACTCATATCACATCTAAAATGAATCAAGCCTCAACCCTCTCAGGTGCTGCCTCTTCAGTGGCGTACACAATAACCTTATTGGCAGGTTTTGCCAAGATATCAAAGTACTCTTGGAATGGAGATTTGGTGAACCGAGTCTCTTTCCAGAAGTCTGGGGTCAGGAACCCGTAAGTCTTCATTAAACAATCAAAGGTAGCCTACATGTATAAAATGAGTGGCATCAGACTCAAGCACAGCAAATATATTGTAAATGAGCAAAAATGAAAGCTAATGCTTTTTACGCTATACACAAACCATCACACCAGTTTTGGATAAAAATAGTAGCTGGGTACAACAAAAAGTGTTTCGATGAACACTTGCAATAAGCCACAATCCAAACAACAAACGACTAGTCATTTAATATCTTTTTAAGAACAAAGTGCTTATGACACATTGCAGCACATGTATTGCAGGAAATGGTAAGAATCAGTAATGGTACACACCTACTATCACACAATTCGACTTGCTCAACAATGAATTCAGTGGCAGACACACAATTTCCCACCAATTTAACCAATACTCTTAATACATCCATACTTTTGGAACCAAACTAAACAATCTTGTTCTCGAGAAAGACATGATTTGGAACTATAAGACTAAAGATTGTTACTATCTCTGTCACAATCTACAAAGTTCCAGTGCAATATTTCCAAAAATTTGAGAACTTTGATGTAGCCATGTGATATAACTTACTTATAGAAAAGATCATTTCTTTATTGTTATATTAACATAAAACACATTAAACTCAAGGAAAGTTTTACTGGAATAGACCCGGTTGTCATCTCCACATTAGCTATTTTAAACAAAATGTACAATCAAATTAACCTTTTTGTTCAATTATAATGTGATACGCATCAATTCTTATGCTATAGTATTAAAACTACAAGTAATAGAATCATCACACAATTAACAATAATGATAATCACAGGATCTGTTGAAAGATCGAACCTTAACGAAGTTGCCAAGGGTTTTGGTGGATCCGCGAGAAGATGTGAAGACATCTTCGATACCAGCAAACTGAAGGACCTTCTTGGGGACACGAGCAGCAACTATACCAGCACCACGAGGAGCAGGCACCATCCTCACAGTAACAGACCCACATTTCCCTGTAACCTTGCAAGGCACAGTGTGTGGCTTACCAATCTTGTTACCCCAGTAACCTCTCCTCACTGGAATCACTGATAGTTTAGCCAATATAATTCCTCCACGAATAGCAGTAGCGACTTCCTTCGAGCACTTAACACCCAAACCAACGTGACCATTCCCGTCACCTACAACAACAAACGCCTTAAACCTGGTTCTCTGCCCGGCACGGGTCTGCTTCTGAACCGGCATGATTTTCATCACCTCATCCTTGAGAGATGGACCGATGAGGGTATCTATGATTTGGAACTCCTTGATTGGGAGTGAGTGAAGGTAAATTTGCTCAAGTGAGCGAATTTTGCCATCTTTCACAAGCCTTCCTAGCTTAGTGACCGGAACCCATTTCTCCTCCTCTGTTTCACGACGTGGACGACGGCCGCCACGGCCCCGTCCACCGCGGTCTCCACCTCTACCACCACGGCCTCCAAATCCACGACCGAACCCACCTCTCTCCCCTCCTCCTCTTTCCGCCATGATTGTAGGTATAAGGTATGCAGCTAGGGTTTACAGAGTGTGTGTATGTGTGAAGATGAAAAATGACGGATTGTTAGGCTTATAAGGGAGCTAGGGTTTCGTAAAATGGGCTTGAGGGAAAGAAAGTCCATATGGAACTACAAGTTTGGGCCATAATGATACAACTTTACGTATATAGCCCATAATAGTTTGCAATTTTTATCCTAAAAGATACTAGCATAAAGTTGGCGAAATAATCTAATAGATCTTGATACTTGTCCGAGTTTGTATTATGTATCCTTCTACTTAATTCGTTACCAATTGAACTCTTAAACTCAATTACAAGAAGATGTTTAAACCTCTCAAATCATGTGTGTAGTTCAATCTCTTTTAAATAAATGAAATGTTAAATACAAGTCATTTAAATTAATAACATGTCATAATTATATTGATTAACTTATTTTTAAAAATTGTTAATTAAAAATATTAAATAATAGGTTAAATAATCTTTTAACTCAATATTTTTAATTAAATAGAATAATTTTTGTAACTCCACACAATTGATAACTTCAGCGTCGCCGTCTTTCTCCTCTTCACCTCTCCCATTCCCGTCGTGAAACAGTTGTCGCCGTCAGCAAAGAAAGCCGTCACTACTATCACATATACTCTCTTCCTCCCTATCTCCATTTTTGCCGCATACCCTCGCCATATTTCCTTTCCTTATTTGCCAACTTCACAAAACCAGCAACCCTAAGCCACCACAACACCAACTCCGACTGACAAACCTTTTCGCCTACATGACCAACTCCTCGCACCCTTACTTGCCTCATCTCCTCTCTATAATCTTCATTTCTCTGAACCAACAACGACCCCCCTGTGAGCCATTATGAATCCCTTTTTTTCTCCTTCTTCTCCGGTGTACCATGATGCCATCAACACCTCCTCGCCACCTCCGTTCCAGCGAAAAAGGGACCAACCTCACTTCTCTCTCTCTCATTCTACTATAGCACACTCAACAATGAAGAAGGTAATTTTTTAATTACTTATTTCTCAATTTATTATATTATAATTTTAATTTCTAAAAATTTTAAATAGGATATCACTCGCTTTTTGTTGTTGAGGCGTGTAGTTACACGCTCTTGCCAATTCATCCATCCTAATGCCACATAAGCTTAGTCAATGATCAGAGGCAGTGGCAGAGCTAAAATTATCAGCAAGGGGTTTCAAAAATTGATGAAAATAGATGCACGAACTAGTTGAAGGGGGTTCAACATTTACTATATATATCTAAAATATTATTTTAATCATATAAAAATAATATAATTTTCCGTCGAAGAAGGTTCGAATGAACCGCCTAATGACAATGTGGCTCCGCGGCTGATCAGAGGGGCTCAATATATGTTTTTAGTGAGTCTAAGGGTTCAATTAATAAATAATTAAGTAAAAGGGTTTATGATACAAACTCTTATAAGTACAGGGGCCCATCATTAAAATCGGACATTTGAGGAATAAGTATCCTTTTTAGTTAATTTAAGTTGTATATGAAAGGATCCTTTGGTTTGAATAGAAATTATGTTGGGATTAACTATATTAGTATTAACTCTTGTTGATGGTTTGATTTGTTGTATTAAAAAAAATATGATCGCATACTTTCTAAAAATAAGTTGTTTTCATTCTCCAAATTGCAAAAAAAAAAAGTTGTTTGTTTGTAAAAAAAATAAGAATTGTTATGGTTAGTCGTCTCGCTGTTTAGGCTAAAATGAATGAGAAGTGGATAAGCGAACATACACTAGTTAATAGTTATAGTTTGAATTAATTACGGCTAGTTGCTAGAATATATATATATATATATATATATATATATAATATACGCATATGCGGTTCACTTCTCTCACTCTCAGCCCTCTGTCGATCGCCTCTCTCAATCTCGCTCATTAAAAGGTACAAATATATATGTATAACAATTACGTATATACAATTATTTGTCATATATACATATACAATTAGACATATATACATATAATTCGCCTCTTTACACTTTCTGTCATCTCTTGCTCGTCTCTCACCTCCCTCTCTCAATCTCGTTCTCTCCTCCCTCCAACATGTAGCTACAAATTATAGTTATAAGTAACTATAGTTATGGAATATAACCAAATTATATTTAAATAGCTATATGCAAAAAATTCTCTAATAATAAACCACGAAAAGGCTATATAATTTGTTGCATTAGTAAAGAGTTCATTTATAAAAAATCATATAAGAAATGCAGTGTGGATAGCATATAAAAAATGTATAATTAAAATAAGAGAGAAAATTATTCAAAACACTCCTAAATACGATAAATTATTAGTTTTATCTTCGAAATATTGACAATCTTAAAAATTATTTTTTATTTGACTAACTGAACTAGAATGAATACACTCTTGATTTTGCAACATAAATGGAATTAAAACACACCCCTACATTCTCGTTAGGTTTAAGGGCGTTTGCAATACTTTTCTTGACTTTTATTTAAGACATTATGCTCTTACAAGAGTTTGAGACCACTTGCTATGACATGTGACAAATAAAAGTATTGAGAATGATCTAAGTTTATTTAGTCAAGTAAAAAATATTTTTTGAAACTATTAATAATTTTAAAATGAAACTAATAATTTGCAACAAACTCAAAGTTATTTTCAATAATATTTAAGTTGACTTGTTGGAAAAATAATCTCCATATACTACACATAATATTTTACTACTGTTACAATTTAATTTGCTTGAGACATTTCTATTTCACGATCCTTTATTTTTCAAATTTAAACTTTGAAATTTTATTAGAGAGAAACAAATAATTAATAATATTCAAAGCATTATTATTCAATGAAAACATTCCAATATTATTACTCTACTAACAAAAATTCATATTTTTTTTTTACATAAGATTAAAAAAAATTATTGCATAACTAACACATGGAGGGACACAAACATTGTTATATTTAAATGAACAACACAATTCAGAAATATTTAACTCAAACTCATAACTTCAATAATGAATTTATCATCCAAGCAATTCACTGTTATTTGGTTCATTTGCTTGTTAGTTTGATGAGATCCAATTACAGTTTGCATGGGTATAAACGCAGCTTCGGTCTTGAACCATATCATCAATGGCGAACCCACCACCCCTTGCAGCTCCAAAGGGGCAACATCTTCACAAGCGAAAGCCTTAACCACCACAATAATCAACCATCTTCGTTTGGGTCGACTTGGAAAAGCTGTCTCTGTTTTGTTCTCAGCTCCGGTTCCTGTCCATTTTGCTCTCTATGCTCATCTCTTCAGAATCTGTGCATCAAACAAGGCCATTGTTGAAGTCCGTAAAGTCGAGTCGCATTTGGTTAGTTTTGCACCAACCCCGCCTGTGTTCTTGCTTAATCGAGCGATTGAGGCTTATGGTAAATGCGGGTGTTTGGTTGATGCAAGAGAGCTGTTTGATGAAATGCCTCAAAGAGATGGTGGGTCTTGGAATGCTATGGTTACTGCTTATTCACAAAATGGGTATGCTGGGAAGGCGTTGGCTGTGTTTTCTGATATGCATAAGTCTGGGGTTTTTGCTGCTGAGGTTACTTTTGCGGGTGTTCTTGCTTCCTGTGCTTCTACCTTGGCGCTTTGGCTTTCTAGACAGGTGCATGCCCTTGTTTTGAAATATGGTTTTGGTGGTAATGTGATTTTAGGGAGTTCGCTTGTGGATGTGTATGGGAAGTGTAGGAGAATGGGGGATGCACGGAGAATGTTTGATGAAATTGAGAGGCCAAATGCCGTTACTTGGAATGTGATTGTTAGGAGGAATCTTGAGATGGGTAATGGAAAAGAGTCTGTTTTTCTGTTTTTCAAAATGATTTGTCTTAATGCGAGGCCGCTGACATTTACTGTCTCAAATGCTCTAGTTGCTTGTTCTAGTTTTAGAGGATTTCGTGAAGGAATTCAAATTCATGGATTAATTATCAAGATTAATTTTGAAGAGGACGAGGTGGTCTCGTGCTCTCTAATTGATGTGTATGCCAAATGTGGGGATTTAGTATGTGCTCGAACAATTTTTGACCTGCTATCCACTAAAAACTTGATTCATTGGACTTCTATGGTGTCAGGATATGCCATGAGCGGTAAAACCAGGCAAGCAAGGGAGATTTTTGATAGGATGCCTGAACGTAGTGTAGTTTCATGGAATGCAATGCTAGCAGGATATGCACATAATTCACAATGGGATGAAGCAATGGAGTTAATCAATTTAATGTGCAATAATATGAGGGACACTGATCGTGTGACTGTAAGTTTGATCCTGAATGTTTCTGCAGGGCTCTCAGATCTTGAATTGGGGAAGCAGGTTCATGGATACATGTATAGGCACGGTTTCTACTCCGACTTGAGTGTTGCGAATGCGCTTCTTGATATGTATGGGAAATGTGGGAACTTGAGAAAGGCTAGAGCATGGTTTTACGAAATGAGTTATTTCCGAGATATGGTTTCTTGGAATGCTTTGTTGAGTAGCTATGCTCGTCATAAGATGAGTGAAGAAGCTTTAGTAATTTTCTGGGAAATGCAACAAGAGGTGACACCTAGTAAATTCACTTTCGCTACTCTCTTGGCAGTTTGTGCAAATATTTTTGCTTGTGAACAAGGTAAACAAATCCATGGGTTTTTGATTAGAAATGGTTATGATTTGGACATCGTTATCAGAGGAGCTTTGGTTGATATGTATTCCAAATGTCGTTTACTTGAGTATTCACTGAATGTTTTCATTGGGACTTCTGTGAAAGATGTTGTTCTCTGGAATTCGCTGATGCTTGGATGTTATCATAACAAACAAAGTGAAGCAATATTAAAATTGTTTGAGTTGATGAAGGAGGATGGAGTGAAGCCAGATAGTACAACCTTCCAAGCTGTACTGCTTGCATGTATTTCTCAGGGTTGTGTGAAATTGGGTAGACAGTATTTCAATTCACTGAGTCAAGATTATTTTATTATACCACAATTGGAGCATTACGAATCCATGATAAAGCTATATGGTCTGCATGGATTCTTTGATGAGCTTGAAGATTTTGTTGAGAAGATGCCATTTCAACCCACAGCCCCTATGTTAGGAAGAGTTTTTGAC